GGTGTCTCATGTTTTATTTACCCAAATTGTTCGGTGTCATACTGTGCCTGGGTTTGCGCAGTCTGTATCTATCAAACTTTCTCTCCAAATCTTTCAATAAACTGATGTATTAGGAACATGATGCTGTATTTTCCCACAGCCAGCCCCAGACAGCTATGCATATACCTGTTGGAGAAATACAGCTTTAAGAGTTGTCAGTAATTTGACAAATCAGGGAGCAGCTGGCGTTAAATTTGAGAGGGTCTGTGGGCATGAGATGAAGCCTGGTGCGGAGGGCAGGGCAGAGGTTGGCGTATGCACGGGGGTTGGACCGCTTCGTTTCAGACGTCCTAGTTGAGCACCTGTCACGACCTTCTCTGGGAGTCAGCGGAGGATACAAAGGTAGGAAACCGCTTTCACGGCGCGTGTCTTCTCGTCTGCGAGGTCAGATCCGTAGAGCTGGGCCGTAACTTTGCCTCATTGCCTAGTTACTCAGTGCCTCTGTCAGGTATCGAATACAACAGCTGTTTGGAGAAGGCTGTTTGGAGTGTGGTATGTCTTGAGGGGTTGGGAAGGCTTTGGGGGAAGAGGCGAGACCACAAACCCCTGGAAGGATGGGTCATTTCGAAGTGGGACAGAGTAGGCCATGTAGACTGGTGAGTGATTCTACTTTTGGTTCTTGTTTATTCTCTTTAATATTCCTATGTATAGTTATTTATATTCTCTCTCTGGAAAGCTTAGTGTTTTCCCTAAGCTACTCCTCACAAAATACCCCCAAGAGGACAGGACTTACATGTATTATTTGTCAGGCCTTTTCCATTGGTCTAAGTGAAGGATTGGCACTTGCTGGGCCATTGCTGTCAGATGGTGTCTTCAGGGCCCCGTGCCTTAGCCTCGCAGAGGCCGAATATGAATGCCCTTAGGTGAGCCGTGCACCCTCACTTTGACACGTTCCTTGCCATTAGTGTCCCACACCTGGCCTGGCTCAACACTGATGTCATGTGCCTCTGTAAACACTTGATTTTGGAATTCAGGATACTGAGACCTCACTGAGAAAAGGAAAAGGAACTTGAACAAGTAAGTTCTCATTAAGTGAAATTCCCTTCAGAGCTTGAGAGCCTTAGTTTAAATTTTTATTTTTTACATTGATTTATTTTTGAGAGACAGAGACAGAACACAAACGGGGGAGGGGCAGAGAGAGAGAGAGGGAGACACAGAATCTGAAGCAGGTTCCCGTTTCCAAACTGTCAGCACAGAACCCAATGTGGGGCTCGAACTCACGAACTGTGAGATTGTGACCTGAGCCAAAGTTGGATGCTCAACTGACTGAGCCACTCGGGCGGCTCACGAGAGCCTTAGTTTAAAATCAATCTGCTCTTTTCCCAAATCGCATCTTAAATTTTCTTTTGTCTTTTTACTAAGGGAAATAACTTGTCTTTCTGTTTTAGCCACTTTTCCTTCTCTTCCCCTGGAATAGTGCATGGCTGCCTCAGCACAGGAGATTGAAACTTAGAAGCCCGGAACTGCATGCATATAATGATTTTTAAAGTTTGGGCGCCTGGGTGGCTTAGTCAGTTAAGGGTCCGACTTTGGCTCAGGTCATGATCTCACGGTTCTTGGGTTCGAGCCCTGTGTTGGGCTCTGTGCTGACAGCTCGGAGCTGGGAGTCTGCTTCGGATTCTCTGTCTCCCTCTCTCTCTCTGCCGCTCCCCCCTTGTGCTCTCTGTCTCTCAAAAATAAATAAATCCCATTAAGATAAAAATAGAAAATCCCATTTCTATTTAATTTATATAACTTTTTCCCTTTGGATATGAGTAAGGGCCTGGCAGGAAGAAGTTAACCTGAAAAATACTTTCAGTATAAAGTAGTGCCTGAAAACAGAGGACCAGCAATGAAAGCTATCTTTCAACATAAAATTTTTCAGTTTGCTTTTGCAAATACTTTATCTTTCTTGGCATTTATTTTGGCCATTTGCGGTCTTTTAGGTTACTGTAGTTGACAAAAGGCTGCCAGGCACCGTATTCTTGTTTTTTGGCTGATGCCTTCCTTTTGACACTGAGATAGTTCTGTGGCCTAGCGGAAAAAGAGCGCCTGTGGTTAGAACTGGGGTAGACGCCCAGGGAACTCCCAGCTCACCGCTCAGCTCTGCCTCTCTCTGACTTAAAGACGAGCCCTCTTCTCAGGTCTCAGTTCCTTGGTTCCTGCTTCAAAAGATGCAGTGGGCATTAGTCAATGTCTGTGGTGGGTTTGAATGAAAGACTGAGTGTGTGAGGTGTTCCTAACCTCCAAGGTAATCAGGAGAGCGCAGTAACTTTGTTGGCTCCCTTCTGACCTCTTGGGAAATGAGCTGGTTCTTCCTCAGGTTTCCTGTGGTGAGGACTGGGGCATGTCGGGCCAAGAAGGTCGAGGGTGAGGAGCAGAAGTCATTGGGTTGCCTCTCCTGGCTGTGGAGCCTGTGAGAAATAAGCCAGCAGCGAGGGGGGACTTAGAAAGGCACGTAGTGGAAGGGCCAAAGCACGGGGGCTCTGCCAAGTGCCTTCACGTGTCGCCTTCCCTCCTCGGCAGGCATTGAGTGACCGCTTCAGCGGTGAGATCCCCGATGACCAGATGGCGCACAGCTCCTTTTTTCCAGATGAATACTTCACCTGCTCTTCCTTGTGCCTCAGCTGTGGGTAAGTGAGGCTGGCCATCTTGGGAAAAGAGGCTCAGAATTCAGGCTTCAGTGTGCATGCGGATCACCTAGGGTCTGGGTAAATCACAGACTCTGAATTAAGGATGGGCAGGGCTCTGAGAAGGACACTGCCAATAAGTACCCACGTGGTCCTGGCCGTCGGAGGACCACACTCTGAGGTTGTAAGACACATGATTATGAAGAATCCTCTGAAGATTCCCACCTGGTTTAGATGGGCCATTGCCTTCTGGTCTGGGAAGTTTTTACTACAGAAAACTTCAGTTGCTTTGTTTTTCCGTGTTTCTCCTACCAAGGCTTTTTCGCTGTAGTCATTAAACTCATTGATATTTGGTAGCCTAGTGTGTACAAAGCTCTGTGGTAGGTATTAGTCCTGGTTAATTCCTTTCACCATGAGGGCAAACTCCCGAGCACATTAGAATTATCCAGGGATCTTACAAAATCATGAAGGCCTGGGCCTCCCTTCCAAGGATTCGCACTTAACAGATCTGGGGTGGGGCCTTCACACTGGTGCATTTAAAAAGGGTCCTCAGATGATTCTAATATGTTGAGTTGAGAACGAGAAGTTAGGGCAGTGCTTCTCAAATTTTATAATCTGTGTATTTATCACCTCGGGATTTTGTTAAAATGCAGATTCTGAACCACAAGGTCTGCTTTTAAGATTGTGTATTTCTAACACGCTCCCGGGTGATGCCTGTGCTGCTGGTCTGTTGACCACACTTTGTTACGGGAGCTTTAGGCAGTGATTCTCCCATTTTAGTGTGCACAAGAAAAACACGTTAAAACAGATTGTTGGGCCTTGCCTCCCCAGTTTCTGATTCAGTTGGTCTGATGTAGGGCCTGAGAGTTTGCATTTCTGATAAGTCCCCAGGTAATGCTGATGTTGCTGATTGGGGCCACCCTTTGAAGATCACTGGATTAATTTGAGCTGTTGATGGCTATTAAATCACAGTCAGGTGACTTGTCCCATGGAGCTCGGCGGCGGATTTAAGTGCTTTGCAGTCTCCTGGTCCCATAGACACTTCCCCACCCCACCACCTTCTTCACCATTGAATTGTCTTTGCTCACATCAGGACCTCTGGTCCTCCTCCTCCAGATTTATCCATTTGGGGGAGGAGATCTGAGCCTTTTGTGAAAGGTTTTGTTTGTTTTTGCATGGAACCCTGTAGGCTACCTGCTGGGCTCAGAAAGGCCACCACCTTGGCTCTGAATATGTAAAAAGGATTTGGTTCTTAGATTACACAGTCTGGGCTCAGAGAATGAAGGTTATTTTGGTGAGGAAAGAGGGATGGTAGTTGCCAGCATGACTTACCTTCCTTTTTGTTTACCCCATAGCCCAGCATGAGGGACTTAGGTTCTTTTGGATCATCACTTTTCCATTCTAACAGCCTCACCAGGGTTTCCAGAACTTTCCTTTCTATCACAGTGAAACTCTAAAGTCCCGATCTCTGTTTTTGCCTTGTCAGGATGGCAGAGCTCACTGTTGATTCGGAAGGTTTTCTTGTTCAGCTTAAGCCTCCTCTTAATGTATTGCCAAATTTTGGAGGTTGGTTTTTGTTTTACATCTTGGCAGCCTGTTCTGGCTAAACTTCCCGTTTCCTGCTTTTTGGATTTGGGGGTTTGCCGAGAGCCATTCAGTCTTTATCTCCTGTCAAGGTGGTGTCTTCAGGCTCCTCCTTTCTGCTGTGGGACCAGGTGGCTTTTCCTGGAGGAGATTCCTCCTTTTCTCCTTTCTCCTCACACAAGGCCAATAGTGCCTTTGAGCGCTGTTGGTTCAAGTACAAGAGAGGCATGTGGATTTCTGAGACATGCGCCATGCCCTCTGTGCTCACTATTCAGGGCCCAGTTCGTAACCAAGGTCTGGTTTCGGCCCTGTGTCTGGCTCTGGCTCAGACTCTGTGGAAGTGGTGGGGGCTTCTTTAGCCGCCTCACCGTCAGCTTTTGGGCTTCACTCAGGGCTGGATGTAAGAACAGCATGAACCATGGGAAAGAAGGAGTCCCTCACGAAGCCAAGAGCCGCTGCAGATACTCCCACCAGTACGACAACCGGGTTTATACCTGCAAGGTGAGTGCTCTGAGCTTCTCCCTGCTCCCGCAGCTGCCTTGCGGATTCTGCTCGGCTTTTGAGGACTGGCTTGGGGCCACCCTTTACTGTATCCCAAAGAATTTGATACTCAAACCGAGTATCTCGGGAACTTCTTCCCTAGCTCTAACCAAAAGAACTCAAGAGGCCTTTGATGCTGGGGCCCCTTGGTTTATTTATTTATTGACTTCTCAGCAGATTTTCCTGTTACTCTGTTGGCTTCTATGCCAGGGCCATGTCCATTGACTGTTCATTCTTCCCCAGAGCAGGAGTGCCCTGCGGGAACCCAGTTGAATGGACCGTGATGGGTATAAATTACAGCTCAGTTTTGGGGCCTGGGACCGGGCCACATTCAGTTCATGATTGTTCAGGGCACTGGCTTTTTTTAGAGCAATGATCCCTCCTCTGATGTGCTGAACTCCCGAGTCTGTAAACCCTCAGCTGGTATGGTTTGTTGGGAGGGGGCTGGACAGGGACATAAAGAGGCCAGGGGGTCTGGTGTACAGAGAAGAAGCTGGCAGAGTGCTCCATGTTTCAGGCCTGCTATGAGAGAGGCAAGGAGGTCAGCGTAGTGCCCAAGACATCCGCTTCCACTGACTCCCCCTGGATGGGTCTCGCAAAATATGCCTGGTCTGGGTGAGTTTAAATGACGACGATGTAGCTGAGGGTTGTTGGTGTATTCGTCTGCCAGGTACCTGCCCGGGTAACAGGGTCTGTTTGCTTTCCTCGTAGGTATGTGATCGAGTGTCCTAACTGCGGCGTGGTCTACCGTAGCCGGCAGTACTGGTTTGGGAACCAAGATCCTGTGGATACGGTGGTACGGACAGAGATTGTGCACGTGTGGCCGGGGGTAAGAGCGGTTCTGTTTTTCTTCTTGTATCGTTCAGTTATTCATGTGTGTGGAAAAGAGCTTGTTTGGAATTCAGGTTAACCATGAATTTTAATATATTGGTGGTTTAGGAAGGCAGGATCTGGAGAGCCTTTCTTGTTCGAGGCCGTTATTTTCATTTTTTCTTGGATGTACATTAGAAGCACAACTTCATTTTTTATTTTATCATTTTTATATATAATTTCTTGTCACATTGGTTTCCCAGTGGTCCCACACCCAGTGCTCATCCCGATAGGTGCCCTCCTCAATGCCCATCACCCACTTTCCCCTCTCCCCCACCCCCCATCAACCCTCAGTTTGTTCTCAGTATTGAAGAGTCTCTGATGGTTTGCCTCCTTCCCTCTCTGTGACTGCCCCCCCACCCCGCTTTCCCTCCCAACTGGTCTTCTGTTATGTTTTCACTCACACATGGATCCTGAGAAACTTATGGCATCTTTCTCTGCCTGACTTATTTCACTTAGCCTAATACCCTCCATGTTAGAAGGAGAACTTTAAATAAACTAAATGTTGGCCTATTGTTGTACTGCCTTAGCAAATGAAATACTTTTTCACATTCTCCTTTCCATAGACATGTTTGTATAGATGCAAATGTAATTTACATGCCATTTACCTGCTATTTTCCCATCCCACCATTTATTTTTATTTATTTATTTTTTAAGCAGCCTCCACACCCAGTGTGGGGCTTGAGCTCACAACCTTGAGAGCAAGAGTCGCATGTTCCACTGGCTGAACCAGCCAGATGCCCCTCATACCATCATTTTATTTCCACATTGCTTCCACTTCTCATGATTTTCCTTTGTAGTCAACTGTGTAACATTGTCTTATGCTTTATTTTGATTCCCATCCTCTTTTTTTATGTTTAAATTAAAAAAATTTGTATTTTGATAGCACATGTGTGAGTGGGGGAGGGGTGGAGAGGGAGCGGGAAAGTGGGAGGGGGAGAAGGAGAGAGAGAGAATCCCAAGCTGATAGCGTGGAGCCCGATGGGGGGCAGTCAGTCTCATGAACCGTGAGATCATGACCTGAGCTGAAATCGGGTTGGATACTTAACCAAGTGAGCCACCCAGGTGCCCCTCCCCATCCCCCCTTTTTTGAATATTTATGCTGTTTACGTAATGTTTTTATTATCAAAATGCTATGACATTCTTTATGTAAGAAAGCCTTTGTTCTGGGAAATTTTCTTGCAGTATATTCTAAGAAGTGGGATTACTGTAGACCCTATTTTTTAATTTGACTTTTGAATTCAATTTTGAGGTAGCAATGTGGTGATTTCATTCTGCATCAAACCACAACTCACACTTGGAATTGCAAGTAATTCAAAACACATTTTCTATTTGTAGGAAAAAAAAAAAAAAGATTTTTCTCTAAGGAACTTATCTTACTTGCTGGGTGACTCCTAAGGCTACTGGTCAGCCTGACAGGCTCCCTGCAGCCATCTTGAGCTTTTCCAGGTCCTACAGCTCATAAAACTGAAGATGTCCTTAGTGTGTTTAGTTCCTCCTCTCTCCAGTTTCCAGCCCCACTAAAATTTGTCCCTGTGGGATGGTCTCACTTTGGGAACCCACCCTCTTGGCATGATGGGCCAGGCCATCCTGTCCCAAGGACTTAGTGTGGCCTTGAACTAGTATAATTTTCTCACTGTACTTTTTATGACTAATGTCTTTTGTTTTTGGATCTGTGTTTGTTCTTGTGAAAGCTGTTGTCTCTATGGTAAATAGTTCTATTCCAAGAAAGTAGTAATATCATAGTTCACTTTTAGGCCACATTCCTCATGGTCCTTAGGATTAGAGGATACAGGTCCCTCCCCTTCTGTTCGTTCATTCACTCCTTCATTATTTGAACTTAGGTTGGTTGAGTACTGTATGCCCAGAATTGAACTAGACACTTAAAAATACAAAAATGAAGAAGATAGGTTATTTTCAGAGGGTTTGGTCTAATAGTCAAATATGTAAACAGATACTGTCTTTACATGTGAAAATAGGATTCTCAGAAGAAACCGAGAGGAAGGGCTAAACCCAGCCTGGGGTGGGGGGCTTCCTGGAGGAGGTACCATCCTTACTCGAGTATCTCCTGGATTGTACATGTTGTTTGGCAGGTAAGGCCTGAATTGAACAGCTGTGCACCAGATCTTGTCACCTTGAAAGGAATAAGTCAGTAATGACTGGTTGGCTGTGGTATTGCCTAGAAGCCAGAGGGAATCCTGGTCTACTCCTCTCTGCCCGGGAGTTTGTGGTTCTGAGTTGACTGTGATGAGTGTGCTACTCACCTGAGACCCCTCGCCTTCCTTCCTTTTGCTCTTTTCGGAGAATGATGGGAGCCTGCATTTTCATTTCAGACCGATGGATTTCTGAAGGACAACAACAATGCTGCCCAGCGCCTCTTAGATGGGATGAACTTTATGGCTCAGTCAGTGTCTGAGCTTAGCCTTGGGCCCACCAAGGCTGTGACTTCCTGGCTGACAGACCAGATCGCCCCTGCATACTGGAGGCCCAACTCCCAGATCCTGGTATGGTGTGGCAGGATGCACCCGCATCCCTGGTGTGGCCCATGCTGGTGCCGTTTTGCCCCATTCTAAGCTTATTTTGTGAGGGAGGTGTGGAATTTCTCTTTCAGATTAGCTCCCAGGGTATTAGAAAAGGCGGGGTGCATCGAGGCAGCCAGTGTTCTCTTTGCCCATTGATTTCCCTTTGTGTTACTCTGTGATTTTCTTTCCAGTGGGTTTTAGTTTCTTGGCCTGCAGGGGCTAGTTATTATTGGTTAGATAGATGTCTGAAGTCCTAGATAACAGAATCTGGAGGGAAAGGGGAAATTTAGAGGTCATTTGGCCTAGTTCATAAATCTCTACAGTAACCACATCAAGGGAGTCCCCAGCTTTGGTCCAAACACTTTGTGACGGGAAGCTCACTCTCCACCAACTTCCCAAAGGCTCTTTTGGGAAGCTGTAGGAAAAAAATGAATTCTCATTGGTCTCCTGGCTAGAACTAGCATAGTTTTTCTGAGAACGCTGTGACTCAGCCAAATAGATATAAGGTGCCTTTCCAGGTATTTCTTGGAAGAAAATGATAGTCACAGCTGTGCTTCAGTGGGTGCATTCCATGTGACCAGAGGCCTTAGGTTCTCTCCGTTACAACTGTTGGGTTCCTGCCGTTCCAAGTGTCCTGTGGTCCTCCCCTGGGTCTCGCTGACTTTTCTCAGCTGAGCAGAAACGAATAATACCTGCCTCTCTGTTTTGGGCTTGGAACAGAGCTGCAACAAATGTGCTACATCCTTTAAAGATAACGACACCAAGCATCACTGCCGGGCCTGTGGGGAGGGCTTCTGTGACAGCTGTTCATCCAAGACCCGGCCAGTGCCCGAGCGGGGCTGGGGCCCTGCGCCTGTGCGGGTGTGTGACAACTGCTATGAAGCCAGGAATGTCCAGTTAGGTAACGTGGGGCCCAGGGGCTGCAAGGGTGGAGGGGACCCTCTCTTTGGCACAGGGTACTGCGAAGTGGACCCCCACATGCCTAATCCTGTTCTTTTTTTTCAAAATGTTTATTTTTGAGAGAGAGAGAGAGCAAGTTGGGGAGGGGCAGAGAGGGAGACAGAGGATCTGAAGCGGGCTCCATGCTGACAGCAGAGAGCCTGATGCAGGGCTCAAACTCACGAACTAAGAGATCATGACCTGAGCTAAAGTCTGACACTTAACCAACTGAGCCACCGAGGCGCCCCGTAACCCTGTTCCTAACCCAGTCGCTCTTCTAAGGGCAGCTGCTCCCCTGGTCCTGGCTGGCATCCTCTAAGCTCTTTGTTAATAGAGTCCTAGGGGGTGCTAGTCCTGGGTTGGGGGGCTTAGCCCTGTCCTGCGTTTATCAGACATGGCTTAGACTGGATCTTCTTCCTGGAGAAGGCTCTTGGTCCTGTTCCTAGCCCCTTTCTGGTTCTAAAACAGCTCCAGAGTGAAGTAAAGGACTAACAGAGGTCACTTGGTGTCAGGGTGTGTCCTGACCCACAGCCCAGACCCCTGTAGTCTTTATAGGGTAGCACAGTGTTTGCCCCAGTTTTCCATGGGAAATGACCTAAGAGGTGATGGCTTTTCCTTTCTCATTGTCCACAGATGTTACCGAAGCACAGGCTGACGATGAAGGCGGGACGTTGATTGCTCGGAAGGTGGGCGAGGCCGTGCAGAGCACTTTGGGAGCTGTAGTGACAGCCATTGACATACCACTAGGTGGGTGTAGTGTACGTGGGATGAGGGGTTTCACGGTGCCCTGGGCTGTCATTTTGTCAGAGCTTGCTGACCTAGATTGAGTTGGACAGCAAGGAGTTGACTGAGAATGTACATTTTCTTGCTTCTGCATACCTTTGTGTTTATTCCCGGAGGCCATCTCTTTATACCATCTATTGCCGTCTAACAAACTACCTGGACACGTAAAGGCTAAAAACAACCACCATTTCATCATGTCTCACAACTTTGAGTCAGGAATGGTTATTATTCTGGTCAGGTGGCATTGCCTAGAGTTTCCATCTGATGCTCTAGTATGGCAGCCTGACCCGTCTTGAGGGGTCAAGCCAACCTCACTCACATGCTGGGTACTTTGTCAGGGATGCCCGGAAGGTGGGCTTGGTAGAACCCATCTCCATCTATTCTCCAGGCCTCTCTTCGTGGTTTCTCCAGTGGGAGTTAAGACTTTTTACATGGGGTGCTTAGGACTCCTGTTCCGAGAGGTAGGAAGTGGAAGTCAGCAATGTCTTAAGGTCTGGGCCTGGAAGCTGGTACTCCTACTCTAGTTTCCCCTAGTCACAAAGCCTGCCTGGGTCTGAGGGAGGGGCAGGAGTGTCAGAATTTGTGGCTGTCTTTAATCTACCTCACTAGTCAGTTCTTCATTTAGGATAGATCTTTATTTATCTCCTGATGGGAGGGGTACTTGTAACTAGGATGGTGAGAGGAAGGGGAAGGGAAAGGCACCGGTGTGTGGAAGGCTTAGGCAAGGTTGGCTGGGCCTCGGCTGTCTCTGCCCATTGCAAGGGAGCAACCAGAGGCTCCTGGGTTGGGTGGTGGTGAAAATTGCTTGGATCTGATTTACCACCACTGGGGCTCGAAGGTGAGTAGATGAACTTTTGACTCGAGGGTATAGGAATAGGTTTGCCCAGGCTTGAAGCTCAGGTTGCATCTGCTCTCAGGGGTACCTGGGAGAAGCAGGGCTGCCCTTGGCACAGAGAGCCTGCCGTCTGCTCCCCACGGGGCTCACCTGCTGAGCGCTCTCTGGCGGGCGGGTCCCAACGTTAGACATGTTCTTTCTCGTAATCCCCACAGCTGCTCTTGAATGTGGCTTGTTGAAGATGAGGAAGCCAGGGCCCTGAGGGGTTAGGGAACCGTCTCTTAATCCTGCAGCTGCTAACGAACACGTGCTCAGTGGAGCTGGGGTTGGAACGAAGGGATGTCCCGACTCCCAGAGTCTGGGCTGCTTTATTGTTACTCCAGTGGTTCTTACTGGAGCTGCGCCTCAGGGTCACCCGGGAGCCCAGTGCCTAGGTGCCAGCTCTGGAGATTCAGAGCCGCACGGTACGGGGTGAAGGCCTCTGTAGGGGGCTGTGTGCGCAGCAGGACTGCGAGCCAGAGGTGCCCGAGGATGCTTCTTGCCCGGTGGGACTCGGCGTGCTGGGTCCGTGTATCCCGCTCATCGTCGTTTGCTCCTGCCACAGGTCTGGTGAAGGATGCGGCCAGGCCGGCGTACTGGGTGCCTGACCACGAGATCCTGCACTGCCACAGCTGCCGGAAGGAGTTCAGCATCAAGCTTTCCAAGCACCACTGCCGGGCCTGCGGACAGGGCTTCTGTGATGAGTGTTCCCATGACCGCCGGGCTGTCCCCTCTCGAGGCTGGGACCATCCTGTCCGAGTCTGCTTTAACTGCAATAAAAAGCCCGGTGACCTTTAACCCCAGCTCCCTCTCCGAGTCCTTCACAATTCCTTAGGTTCTCAGGGTTAGAAACAGAAGTCTCATTGAGGTAGGCCCTCCCCACCGGGCACCTGTTATGGTGTGTGTCCTCTACTCATCCCGGGTCACTATCCTGCTGTGGGGGGAGGGAGGAGCCTGGCCAGGGCCGAACGTGTGAACCCCTCAGGGCGGGGGACCGAGCAGCTTAAAGTGGAATGAACCTGAATCCGTTGCATTTATGTCAGTTAAGAAATCTACAACGGTGTGCATATATCCATATGAAAGGGATGTGGGGCGTATTCAGGCTGCTGCTGGCTGTGAAGACATAGCACAGTCTGTCCCCAGCACAGGGATAAGGTGGCAGTGGCCCTAGGTCCCCCCCCCACCCCCACCCCCCCCCAACAGAGCCAGGTTCAGAGCCACTGTGTTACTAGTCACCTTTTGCTTCTTCTCTGTGAGCCTTTGAAGCGTCTCCTTTCCTTGCCTTTTCCCAGGTACCTCTTGCTTGGAATAGCCTGAAAGGAACCCACCTGGGTCCTCTGGAATTGGATCCCCATTCCTGGCCTAGGCCTGTTTCAGTCAGAGACTACCCAACTTAGCGTGCAGGTCACCAGAGTGGGTGGAAGGTGAGGGGTAGGGTCCTCAGCCCTGAGAACGGGGGAGAGCACAGAAGGAAACAGGCCTTCCCCAGCAGTGTTTCCTGCTTATTGATGCTCCTGTGTCCACTTGGCTTTTTCCAGAGGCCGCACCCTGCCCCTGAACAGCACCTGCTTCCTTCCCCTCCACCTGCAAGCCCACCATCTGCTTCTGAGTGTTGCACTAGGATTTTTATTGCTTATTTTGAAGTGTCTTAATTCTTTGTTCCCTGATACATGACCCCTCTGGCTACTGGAGGGGTGACCTTGAGAAATCTTCCAGGGAAACAGTGCACCGAATGGACTGTTTTAAATATATATAAATATCTCGACGGATAATAAAGAAAAAAATTCTCTTTGGTTCTTGCAAGAGAAGTCAAACTTGTTTCTTATCAAGAGCCGGGACATTCATATCTCTCATGACTGGAAAGAGACTGTTGTGCCGAAATCCTGTCGTCATGGTGGATTTTCTTCAGTGGCCAAAACCGAAGAATTAAATGTGGCGTAATTCTTGACTGAACTGGTGGGTGGGCCGAACTTCAGGGAGGTACGTAGCGGTCATTCCTGGCATGAGTGCAGTGTGACGTGAGCCCTGGAATGTGTTGGTCCTCAGACCTGCTCCCTTCCTGCCTCCTGTGGCCCAGTGACTCAGGGCCTACTCTAGTACTGTGTATTATCAAATTCGCCATTATAAAGGAATCTTCCTGCTGAATATGGACTGTGCTCTTTGCTTTAACTTCATCAGTAAATCTTGCCTCTTTCTAGTCGATAGGAGAGTAGCTGGTGGCTTTCAGAGCAGAAGCTAGTGAGAGGCATGTTTCTAAGAGTGGTAGTGTTTGGCCTTTAATACCTCAGCCTGTTACTTTAACAAGAACTTAAAGGCATAGCCAAATACCACGAACCATGATAGGGGTTTTCATGTCATGATGATGGGCTGTTTTTGCCCCAGTTTTTAGACAGATGGCTTCCTCCAGCTGTTTGCTAACTGGGAACTTAGTGGCTATTCCTTTAGAGAGGATAACTGACGCTCCTAGAACTTTCTGGTGGCGAGGGCTCCACACGGGCTCACTGGCCCTTCCATTGCCTTGTACTTGGGCTGTTCGTCAGAGCTTTCCACAGTGGGTGGGGCCAGCTGCCCCCAAGTAGGCAACCCGTGCCAGGCAGTGGCAGCGGCTTAAGGACTTGGGTTCTCAGGGTTCACTCGTAGCTGTGGGGCTGCAGTCCCGGGGAGTCCTCTCACAGGAGACTATGTGTTGCTATCAACCTAGGGAAACTCTGGGGAAAAACTGTCTTCTACCTTTTTATCTGTCACTTCCCTCTTCGTTCCCCTGCCCGGTCTTCTCTGTTCCACTCCCGTGTCCATCCGCAACTGTCTTCCTCCTTCTTGTGGGTATGACACTCTGGTCTTACCAGCACCCAGATGAAGAAACAGAACATATCCGCCACCGCGAGAGCCCACTGTCTTGGCATCTGATAGCACAAATTAGTTCCCCTCTTTTAGGGGGTGGCTGCATAAAGACTTAATACATTCCTGGTTTGGGGTGCCCGGCTGGCTCAATTGGAAGAACATGCGACCCTTGATCTCAAGTTGTGAGTTTGAGCCCCAAGTCAGGCATAGCGGTTACTTAGAAAAAACAAATTTTTGGCTTGAAGGACTTGCTCCGAGGTGGAGGAGATGGCTGGGGAAGCTGTCTCCGAGAGCTGTGATGAAAGGCTTCAGCTGTGGCTGAGAACCAAGCGGTCTCCGGGGCAATGGGACGCGGTGGGACCCTTACATATTCCTTGGGTTTCTCTCTGCTCCTTTGACTTCCAATATACAGGTGCCAGTTATCTGCCAGGGACTATGCTAGGATCTGTATATGGTTGATATTCTCACAACCATACTGGAAGGCAGGGGGTAGTGCTTGTGTTTTACAGCTGAAGCTACTGGCTCAGAGACATTTGGAAGCCCCGGGCCGCCTGGCTAAGGAGACTTGAAGCTGGGGTTTGAGCACAGGCAGGCCTCATAACTGCCGTACCGAGTCTGCACCCCATCCTGCTGGCATTGCAATGTAGAGAGAGTGTCTCTTCAGTTTCCTTCCTCCTCCTTGAGCTGCGAATTATTTTGCATTTCCAGATAAGACAGTGACCTTAAAATTAAAATAGTAGCACATACCTTTTTTTTTTTTAATCGGAGCTTAACTTTACATTTAATCATTTCCATTGGCCCTCAGAGGTTCTCATGATAAAGGAGAGTAATGCTTGTCACTAAAAATCAGAGAAACTGGTTTAGAGATTAAGCAAGTTGATCTAGCCTGTACCAATGGAGCCAAGCTTCCCAGTTGTTGAAAAATTAAGTTTTTCTTAATATTTGCATTTTCTTTTTTTTTTTTTTTTTT